TTTCCTGTATTTATTTTTACTTTCCTCTTGTCCCACTATCATGCTCAGCCTTCTTTTGGGTTTCAGTAATTCCTCTCAGTTACATTGCTCTTGATTAAGCCCTACCAGACCTCTTACACCCTCCTCGCCACTGATTTTGGATCACTTGTTGTTCCCTGGTTCTTGGGCTTGTTAACATCACTTCCCCTGCACCCTTCTCCCATGTCCACCCCACCCCCACTTCCGGAACTGTTGGTCCTGTTGTTTTCTCCTCAGGATTGTTTATCCAGATAGACCTGCAGAGATAATATGCACAAAAACAAGACAGAGCAAAACAAAGCAACAAAAGAAAACAAAACAACACCAACAAAAAACCAATGACACAAAAAAAGAAAATCCTGTGAATAGTTCAAGGTCTGTTTGTTGACCTTTAGGAGTGTTTTCCAGTCAAGTCTGATGGAGTGCCACGCCTTGGCCCCAGGGTCTATTTTTGGTATTCCTCAGGACTTTCTTGCTGTGCTCCCCTTGCTGTTCTGTTGCATACCCTTAGTGTTTTGCCTCGGTGTGGTGGGGTCAGATTGGGCGCAGTTCCCACACTGTGTCTCCAGTATTGTCCCCTGTAGGATTATGGGTCAGTGAGGGATGTCCTGTCTCGTCGTGAGGCCAGCCATATATGGTCCTCTCTGCATTAACTGCTCTGAGCAGGAATATCGTCCTCGAGGCTTGGTGGGCCAGGATGTACATCTCTTTTTAATACAATTAACTGTGGAAGTGTATGATATGTGAATTGTATCTTAAAACTTTTTTTTTTCTCAAATGGCCTCTTCCACATTCAGGATTTGTGTGTCAAGATCCTTCCCAGCGGGCGTCCACCCGGCCCATTTATCCCACCTTTGAGACTTCCAGGAGAAACCCTTTTCCAAAACCACAGGTAAGCCCGGTCAGCAGCAGGGAGCCCACAGAAACCTTCGTGGGAAATAGCAGCTGGTGTAGATGGGCCAGCTGAGGCTGTGAGGCCTGGGAGAGCCGGAGATTGGGGGTCCACTCAGGCAGGAGGCACTTCTGTCCAGCTGTGGCCCCTGGCCACATGCTCGCAGTGCTTTCAAACACACTTCCCTCTCTGCTGTTTGATTTTGTCCCCTCTGGGCTGCTGCCTTCCTCGCCGTGCCTCTCTCCCTGGTTGTGAACACCTACTCCTTCCCCCTCTCAGACTAATGTGCTCATGAACCAGGCACGGAGAGACAGCCTCCTCATTCCTGGTCATCACTCCACTGCGTCCTTTTTGATGTTCACATAGCTTCAGACGATGTGCAACTGGAGAAGCGGCTTGTCTTCTCTTCAGGGGGCTCTCTTCAAAGGGGCCCTCAAAGTGGCTTGCGGTGAAATGCAGGAAATGTCCTCAGAAACGTGCCCATGTCAGAAAGCTCGCATGTGATTGCTCTCTGCGCCAGTCTTTGCCTGCCTGGCCTGTGTTCTTGTTCTAGCCCAGCCAGGCACGCTGGCCACTCACGCCTTCCTCTGATCCTTCACTGCCTGTTGAGACCCTGCCAGCTTCCACACCGGTGCTCTGGCCCTAAGGATCACTCCTCTGAAAGCTTCCCCTCTGCGCCGGCTCACAAATGGCGGAGACCTTGTGAACCTTGTCCATCCTGCTCTGCCATGACCTTTACGCTTCATTCCACCTTTCTCTGCCGCTTCTGTATTGCGGTGCTTTGCAGTCACTGATTCGGTGCTTTGAAACTATCCCTCTTTCCCCTGGATGACAAGCTCTTCCGAGGCAGAAGCAATTTCCTCTTCTCTCTCTTCCTTTCCTGACTCCAGTGGCCCCTGCTGCTCTTCCGTCTGCTTGCTCATCTCATGCAGTGGTGCCCTATCTGCCCAGCACCCTTGTGTACCCTCCTTCTCCTGCTAACTTTTCATCAGCTGGGCCTGTAGGCAGGTGAAGTCTGGCCTGGGATAAGGCAGCAGAGGGATGTGCCTGAGGTCCCCTGCTGAGCACCCGGTCTCTCCTCCAAGGGACTGCGCTGTGAAGAATGTGCCCTGGGTCACTGCCAGGCAGGAGTGCAGGCTCAGTATTGTCAGTGCCCCCTCTGGTGTCAGGAGAAATCACAAACCTGATTTTAAAATATTGCCAACTCCTTTATGTAATTTGTACAGTTGCAGGCGTCTGTGGGCTGGATTCCGTCTTTGGACCACCTGCCTGTGGCCCTGAGCTCTAGAATGATTCCCTACTGGGAGCTGTGATGTGAAACGGTGCACTCCACCTCTAGGATGTGGTCTTGCATTAAAAGTAATCCAAGCTCTGGGGCATCGTCACAAACAAAGGCGTTTTGTAAAATGTCAGCACAAAAAAAGGTCAAGGATGGATCTCGGTAGACTGGGGAAACCTAGTTTAGGCAATCCTTTGCAAAGTGCTTCCTGCAGTATCTGTGGCCAGAGATTGTGTACAGGATTGTCTGTCTGTGCAGCTTGAGCATAGTTTTGCCAGGTTCCCCTCCTAGAAGGTAGCTGAGGCCAATCTTGGCAGCAGGGATCCCGTGCCCTAGCATGCCCATCAGCTTTTGTTGGGGACGTTGTGCAAGTCGTATGGAGTCACCATTTGTTTTGCTACCTAGTAGGTACTGGCAGGACGTCATCCACAGGTGGCCTCCAGGACGCTTATGGAAAGAAGTGTGGATTAGTGGTGTGGCTGTTAGAAACAGGCAGACCAGGGGGAGTAGTTACCGCCAGGGTCTTCAGTGCCCAGGAATAAGCTTGTGCTCTCTGTAGTGAGCAGGTGAAGCCGGGATAGAGACCCCCATGGGGAAAATGGTGTGCGAAGGACTAATAAACACCACTAAACTGATAGCCAGTGAGTGTGGAGAGCTTGAGCCTCAGTCTCTGTTTTGACATCACATTTCTCCTTTTGACCAAAACGGAATGGAAAATGCAGACATCGTAGGAGAAGATAAGGCTTCATTCCATTTCTCTGTCTTTTATAGCGTCCAGTGTCTGCACAGTTTCACTCATCAAATGCCAAGCAGGTAAGTTCTGGATCGTTTGCAGACTTTGTTTGAATTTCATTTCCATGCCCCTCACCACCACCACCCCACCAAATGCTTTATTTATTTATGTAGCCTTGGTCAGTCTTTTTGCAGTACAGGTTTTGTGCGTCTGCATTTATACAGTTCAGTAACATAAAAGAGCATACATGGAGCTCGTCTTGGGTGGGGAACAGAAGAGTGGCGCATGCAGGAACGAGGGAGCCCGGCTTCTCTTTCCCGTTGGGGGTTTTCCAGTGGAGGCAATAGGCTTGGATGAACAGCTTCACAAATGTAGCTTTTGCTTTGACCCAAGTATCACTGTTGCAGCGTACTGTTAGAAACTGGGTGTTGGGCTGTAATTGTGTCTCCTAGCAGCTGGCCTCTTTATACATCTTGTTTTGGCCTTTTCTGAGTCTTAGAAACTCTGCTATAATTAGTACCGCCAGTGCTTGCTGGCTGCCTTTAAAGAAAGACTAAGTATTTCTTCTTTCTCTCTGACGTTTGTTTTCTTTCTCTTCTTGATAGCAGTATTTGAGCTACCAACCACTTTCTAGTATCTTTTCTGGGGGGCTAGGACAGCAGTGGGGACCCTGCTCCTGCTGTTTGCTTCTTTGGGGTGGAGGGATGTTCTCATACATAAGTGTGTCACTTGCAACTCTTAGCTCTTTCCAAAATGCTCCCAGTGTATTTATTTTGGCATTCGTTCTCTCTGATAACGTTTCTGGTGAGCTTGGCAGCTTCAGTTGTAATTTTCTCAGCTACCGTTTCTGATAAAATGACTTACATGGTTTATGTAAATCCACAAAATGACAGCAACAACAACAACAAAACAAGAGAGAGAGAAAGAAAGGACTACTCAACAGATGGCCTTGTTTAGATTTGGTAACTGGTTAATGTGGCTCTGGAATTGGTGCTCTGGTGTTTAGGTGCTTGAATTCCAGCTTCTGTAATAGTAGCATTTTATACAGCGATTTATACGTGATGTGTACTAACTGTTATCTGTGGCAGGGAGGTGGGGGCGGGGGTGTGTGTGGCACACACGAAAGCAAGGCTCTTGACTTAAGAGCATACATTCTAAATATCTCTCGAAATAATCTGTTTCAGGAGGATACTAAAAGTACCATTGCGCGCAGCCTTCTAAATTTGATTCCAAAGATGACGCTTTGGGATGTAATTCTAATCTTAATTTTTCTTTCTGTACCTTAATTCTATTACATTAGCCACATTGCTTGAATTTCATAGGTTGTAATTAACCCCGTTGGAGAGCCAGGCTTCTTTCCAGTAGTTCCGTATTTGCAAAGAGCTTACAAGGCAGCAGGCCTCTGTGGCTTTATTCAACCGGCTTTATGCGCGTCACATCTGGGACTCAACTCCCATGCCGTGTTCTTCTTTGCCAGCAGATCTGTCAGTGGAGCGCTCTCCCCTCCACATTGGTCAGCACACCTTTCATCAGATCTCAGTGAGAAAGGAAAGACATCCGTTGCGCTGATCGTTTAGACCATGACGTCACAGCGTCTTCCTAATTGCTGCAGATTGCCAAGCGATGTCGTTTGGGGCCTCTTGTCAGCCCTGCCTTTTTGAATCTGTTAGCACATCCTACATCGCTCCCTTTTTCCGGGGCTCTCTGTGGTTCAAAATCCCTGTGCCCCCCGTCAGACATTATTTGTTAGTGTTATAAAGACAACACAGGCTTATGAACTTTAGACTTCGGGTCATGATCAGCCAAGGAACTACCATCCGTTTATGCAAACCACGTGTCCAGTATAAGCTTTTCAGTCAGTTGGTTTCCTGGCCCCATGAGGTTTGTAAATCGCACTTGTGCTGATTTTTCACGGCAACACGTCAAGAAATACATTGGCATAGCTCAATACAAAAACACCCAGGGAGGTAGAGTTGACCAAGAAACATACATGTGAGGGCGCTTCAAAAAGATGACGAGAAAAAGTGGAATGAAAGGTAATGGAATTATTCCAGAAATGTGTGGCAGCCTTCTTGTAAGGTGTGTTGTTGGAGGTAAGAAGTACAATCTTCCTTAGATCTTGAGCATGTTTCCTTCCCTCTCTGGGAGCCAGTTCCACTTCTGCCCACTGAGTTTGAGAACATCTAGGTGGAGTTATGGTGAGAAAGCAGAGGCCATCAGTAAACCAGTAGGATGGTGCTGGACCCGCAGTTTATACCTTCGCGTCCTGTTTGGACTCTCCCTTTGGTGTCACCAGTACCTGATACCACTTTGTTGGTCACCTCTGTAGCCTTGGTGTGCGTGTTTGCTGTCATCCACAGATTTCTTTGCTGCGTTCTTTCTCTGTCCAGGTAATGCTCAACCTGTATCGACTCCTAAAATCCCTTCCTAGCTTGATTATTTATCTTACCTTAGTTATACTTTTTTTTAAGAGCAAATGTGTTTTTATCATGGAACCAAATGCCACACAAAATTATACTTAAAAAACTACTTTCTGTTTTTGTCACGGTTATTATATTCACTAGGTCATGACACTAAACTTGATTCAGCATAAAAATTTTACAAAGTTGTTTTCAAATGCTTCTCTAAAATCCAAAGGCATTAAATATATTTGCTGTATTCCCCAGCCCTCCCCACCCCCACGTTTTTTAAAAAAAACCATTTTTATCTGTAGCAAAAAAATTTAAAAACGTAAAAGCCTATTTTAAGATAAATAAAGCAATCTCCAAAGAACCCTGAACATTTGCCTGTTTCGTCCTCCAGTTTAATATCTTCTCTTGTCTTACTAGGAATTCGAGTTAGAGTTATCAGGTGGTACCCTGGGAGTGCACGTCCCACATTTGTAAAGATTGGTTCCACATTTGCTTTTTCTTAATCCTCTGATAGCCTCTCACTTCTTCATATTCCAATCATAACTGTAAATGGCTTGGGTAAGTTTCTGTAGTTTTGTAATAAGAAACCACCAGCTGCGCTGAGAGGGAAAGATGGGACTTACTCCCCTCCCTAAAGGGCTACTCTCTTGGAAAGCCCCCGGGACAGTTCTCCCCTGTGCTGTGGGGTCGCCGTGAGCCCGGCACCAGCTCGATGGCTGCTGGTTGGGCTTTGGTCTCCTGTCTGTGTGCTTCCCTCGCGGTAATAAGGGGTAGATGTAGGAAGCTTCCTCTTCCGGAGTCATGACGTTGTCCACGCACTCAAGCCCCATGCCATGGAGTGGACTTCTTAGCTGGACAGTGGTCTGGTGGTGTGAAGTTTGTCTGCGCACCTGGCACTCTTAACTCTGTGCCCTCTTGCCAGGAACAGCGAGTCTTTGAATTCAGAGAAGCTTACTTTGCCTGTTGCATTTCAGCGACCCCTTGGCGTCCGTGCCTGTATTGTAACTGCCACCCACAGAACCCCCTAGAGCCGCAGCGCGGCTTGCATCTGTGCTGTTTTGTGCTGGCCAATGACTTTGCAAATCAGTCTGACTAATTTTTTCCCCTTTTAATCTCATTGGCACTCATAAGCCCTTCTAGTTTGCTGTCTTTCCCCCCTTCTTATCTTTTCTTTCTCTCCCTTTTCCTCTTGCCTGTGTCTCCAATTCCGGTCTCATCCCTTTCTAGTTAGCCACATTAACAGATACAGCAAGTGGAGGCATCCAGCCACTGGCTCAGCAGAACAGCGGTGCCTTGTGGTGCTTGAAGAAGTGCGTTTCTTCTTTGTGAATGGACTCATTCGGGCAGACCCTGTGTTGATAAAACATTTTTTACTTGTTAACTTTCAAAATCACATATTTTAAAGATTGAGGAACCTACATGGACAGAATACTTTCTTGTCTTTTTAGCCGTAGGCTTTCTAGCCGTTTTTCTCCCAAACACAGGAGCCTGGGTGGATTTTGGAGACGCATTGAAGGGTGCTTGAGCCCCAGTAGCTGTTACTTTCCCCTTTCCGTTCCTCTTTTCCTTTTAGCCCTGCTGCTCGTTTAGGGTACAATGAGCCAGTGAACAGATTGGAGGCAGTCCCTCCCACGTGTTTGCCCCTCGTGGGGTAGCACAGACCTTCGTTATTTTCCTTGTCTTCGTCTGATGGGGCATCATGACCCTTCAGCACCTTCCTTTCTCAACCCTTGAAGCCCCGCCCCGCCCCTGCCGGAATGCCCACGTGCCCCTCCCAGACAACCAACATTCATGCACGTGGTACCTCCCCTCCCAGCAGCATCATGGGATCTGAGTAACGAAAAGAACGGTTGTGAGCCTCTCTGAGGGCAGCTCTCTGAAAGGTGATGAGCCCAGGTGTCTGAGCGAGTGGGGCTGCTGAACGGGTTTGGGATTGGTGGAGAGGTAGGGCACATCACGGAGATCTCAGCCAGTTGGGAGCTGGGAATAGTATTCCATCATAAAGCAGTCCCGTCATGATGGCCGTTGGAAGTAGTCATCACTTGATGTCACTGAACAGATTGGCTTTTGAAGTGTCCTTTTTAAGTGAGTGCCACGCTTTTCTTCCTGAAGCGTTACTCCCAGCATAGGAAACCATATGGCTTTCTGATTTAAAATGGCCAGTGTCATTTTGAAAATGATGGTGGCAGTAATGGTAAGATTGATTATGCTTGATCCAATTGAATTATGGATTGCTGTACTATCTGTACAGTAAAATGATTAAAAATAAGTAACTAACTTGGCCAATATCAGTCCATTTCAGCTCACTAGTGTTTGGGCTGTGGATCTTCATGCAGTCCATTCCATCCTGGATGACTTGGGACTTTCCTAGATTCATACTTTAAATAGCCCCTGTTCCGATCACTGTCAGATGTTTGCAACTGTTGCTCCTTACCACGAGTCATTTCCTACCAGCTGAAGAAGATACCAAAGGCTCTGCTCCCACAGGCTTTATGGGACCCAGGACTTTATGGTGGACTCCACGCTGAGAATCGTCTTCTCCTCAGTCGCACTTCGAGGGGCCTCCATCTCGAGGGGCCTGGCCTCCAGCACTGTGTCCGACGATGTCCTGCCTCCATCGATTGGGCCCTCGGTATCTGACAGTGTTTCGAAGCTGCATGTGTCGTTTTCAGCAGCTCCTCCTGCAGAGGGAGGAGCGGAGTCCTTCACTGTCTGCCCCTAGAAAAGAGTGTTTCATAAATACGGCGTGTGATGATGCGAACACACCTCGAAGCCTCCATTTAGTGTTTTGGCTTTTCCAAATTATAAACTAAATACCATGTTCACAATCTAGAGACTATTTTTGGTGGCTATACCAAGTGTACAGAGTTTCTTCCTAAATACTTACACTTTCCTTCTTTTTTCCATACCCACTGTTTAGTCTCAGAGAGTTAATGTTCCCACAATTCTGCAGTCTCAATTCCAATCATGATTGAGCGGCGTGTCAGCACATTCGTTTACTCTTGTACTTGTTCAAGAGTCCGTTTGTTCCATTGCATTTCCTCCCCCGCACCAATGCGGCTGCAGATGAGACAGTAAAACTAAACAGATAGATTTCTGCTTTCCCACGACACTTACGCTTGCTGATTTCATAGTTTTATTTATATGGCTCTCTCTTATTTATATAGCTCCTTTCTTTACAGCCCTCATTCTCTGAAAATTCTTGAGTATTGATCTCCGAAGGTAATCCATTTCCCGCCTTCTAAAGGTGAAACCTGTATGGTCATTTGTAGGTGTTGGTGAAAAGATCACAAGTTAATTACCAAAATATGGTGACAGATTGTCTACAAGGGGAGAAAAAGACTGGCTCACAATAAGGCTTTCTCTCTTGCTGGAAGTTACTTCAAGCACAATCATTTGTATCCACATTGCTTGAATGATTTCTTCTTCAGTCACTTCCCCTGTTGCCGGAATCCTGTACTACCAGGCTTCCCTCCCCTGTTGCGTGACCCTGTATCATCAGGCTGCTTGCCCACAGGCTTGCATCACATTTCTCTGCCCTGCATCACCATCGGAATGACAGGGACTTTTGTATTCAGTTAGTTTCCTTGACCATCACTCAGAAACAAAAGAGCCCACATCATCTTTGGGATCAGTGAGGAACATGACCCACTTGGCTGCTTCTCTGGAATGTTGTCTTTGTCCCAAGTCTCTTGAAGTTTGGCCGCCACAGTGCCACCCAACTTGTGGCCTTTTGGTCACAGCTCTTCTCTGACACTGAGGACGCATTTCTGTACTTGACCCCTCGAGTTCGAAAACATCCCAGAGTGCATCAGCTTCATCCGTGACGGTTTCATCTCTCCGATCTCTGTGCTCTTAACTCTGAAGAATAAAATGAATACCTGCTGAAGCGTTACACCTTTGACTCCTTTGTATGGCTGCTTCTCCGAGTGTCTCCGATCCTCACAGGTATCAGATGAGCAATAAGCACTGGCTTAGAAAGCCACGTATTTTCTCTCTCAATCCTCAGTGTTGCCCTACAGCTCTGCTTCTCCTCCTGGCCTGTGATTTTACCAGCTCTCCTTGGCTTCCCAGAGATGCAGGCTAATTGATTAGTTATAGAAAATGAGCTATTGGCTTGAACGCCTATGTATTGGGGAAGATAATGATGCCGAGGGGATGAACCAAGGGATGTGAAGAAAGATGACAAGCGTGTTTGTATCTTCTTCCCTTGTCTTTAGCGTTCCCGTCCGCTCTCTGCCAGCGACGCAGAAATGAAGAACCTGGTGGGCTCCGCCCGGGAGAAGGCGCCAGGGAAGTTAGGTGGTTCTGTGCTTGGTCTGTCCATGGAGGAGGTAAAGAAAGCTCCGTTTTCAGCCTTTATGGGTTACCCCAGGGTTCATTGCAAATAACTGCGTGATTCACCAGGTTAATGTCAGGCTTATGGCTCCCACTGAAAAAGGAAGCCTCGGGAGCATTTGACCGGCCTCCGTGGTCCTCCTGTCCTGCTTCTGCTCATGGTCACAGCTCCTCTGTCCTGTCACCGCGTGGATCCAGGTTTCAAGATGGGTATTCACTTGGTTTTCTCTTCTGCCATCTAGATCAAAGTGTTACGGCGAGTGAAGGAGGAGAATGATCGGAGAGGTGGATTTATTCGAATATTCCCTACATCAGAGACATGGGAAATATATGGGTGAGGTGACTACCCTTTTCCCCCCTCAATCTGTACCTCAGGTCCACAGAATTGGATTAATTATGACCCAGTGTCATCATTGGTCTCTGCCTGGTGCCCTTGTCTTTGTTATTACTGTGTATTTAATAATATGATTGTCACTCATCCCAAGAACTGGAGCATTAACAATGATTTAATCTGTTCCCGACACATAAAATCCTTTCACCTTCCTAACTAACCTTCCAACTCGGGGGTAACCCTGAATTTTGTGCTTTTTAGTAACTTTGGTAAAAAGTCTTTTATCTCTGTGATACATAAACAATGTATTGTTTATTTATTTGAATTCTTTTGTGAATTAGGTTAAGGTTCACAGAGCAGACCGTCCTGCAGTGTGTGCCTCATTCTGATGGACACGTCCAGGTCCACCCCTCATTGCACCAGCACTCCACCCACACCCTCCCTGCGCTTCCCGTTTCCACCCCTCCCCCCCAGCCCTCGGAACATTGTCCTTGGGAAAGCATTGCCCTTGTGAGATGTAATGGTTGCTGACCCTAATACGGGATGGGTTTACTTCCAGACCTGAGAGGTGACTACGGCGCCTTGTCTTGGTGGTCCCATCAGTCGCTCTCGATTTTGAACTCTCATCCGCATTCCTCTCCCACTCTTCAGGACGTGCTCCTGTGGTTCTCTTTAGAACAGGTGCTGGTGGTAGCCGGCCACCGCCCAGCTCTCCTAGGTCCTGTCAGCATTGTGAAGACTGGCGTCTGTGGCCGTCCGTCTCTGGGACTGAGTGTTTCCATCTGGGTGTCAGTTTTCATCACTTCTCTCTACTCCACGTGGATGGCTGCTCGTGAGACTGTTCGTTGTGTTAGCACTTTTATTGACATTGAATTCACATGTCATACTATTCAGTAGTTCGTTCACATCAAGAAGAGTTGTGCAATCATCACCAGTCAATTTTTGAACATTTTCTTCTTTTATTTATTTATTATAAAGAATCATTTTTATTGGGGGCTCTTACAGCTCTTATAACATTCCATACATCAATTGTGTCAAGCATATTTGTGCATATTTGTTTTCTTCTTTCTTATACTCATTGTTATTAGCTCTTCATGAGCTATTGAACCCTGCAGGCTACTCACGAAAGTAGACTGACTATAGACCATTGTCTTTGTGAACTGTGTGATGCCGGTTGCCTCGGTTGCCCCCCAAGATTGTCCTGTGTTCTGGAACATGGTACTGTCAAGTTGGTCTGACCCATATTGACCCTCAACACGACATGTCATCCTTGTGGGTCTTGTGTCATCCCTGTTGTGATGTTTGAGCCCATGTGGCTGCCACTGTGGAGATCCATCCCCACTGGGCTCTTCCTCTTTCTTCTCTGCGGACCCACAACTACAAGTAGGGCCCCCCTTGAAAGACACAGGGATTCCATAGAAAGGTAGTGCTTGGGTTTTCTTCAAAAGTAAATGGAAGGATTTTTTAAATGTTTTTTGGGGTAAAAATGTGAGGTTTTGCGTTTTTTAGGACACAGCAGCTTTAATGAATGAACGTGGTGCCTCCACTCTGAGTGCTCTACCATGCAGGGTGGTAATTTGAGTACCTCTTCCCCAGGCTTTTTAGAGAAAACCCCTTAGGATGTGCTTTATGGATTCAGTTCTGAAGCGCATGAGAATGTGATAGATGAAGCCAAAGTGCCACCTTTGTTTCTGACAGCCTTGGCTGGGAGGCCCAGTGCCCTGGTTCTGTCTGGCTGCAGGCAAATGTGCTCCCACATACAGACCCCCCAAAGGCTGTTTATACGCCAAGTTGAGCTGAGCTGTGTTAACGAGGGAGAAGCAGAGGATGTGTGCTGTCTAAGGGGAATTGTTTCCCAAGAGAAAGAAAAGACATGCTCATTAGAGTGTGTTCTGTTTGTTTTATCTTAATTATTAATCAGATAAGCCCTCTCCACCCTCCGGGCTTTCGAGAAAGAGAAAAGACTGAGAGAGGCCAAGAATATTAAACTCATTGAACTGCCTTCACTTAGTATGTGGACGATACTTTCATCTCCTAATAGGCCCTTTTATTAATATGTATTTGTTGAGTGCCAGCCAACCATCCAGTACTTTACGTGGTACTTTGGAGCATAACCTAAATGTTAGATGGGATCCCTCTGCCCTTTGAGAGTAAGCAGTATGACTACGGAAGGATTATTTATATATAAAGTAAAAACTGTACGTATTTGTGTAAGTCTTTGCACATCATTCCCATTTTCTTGATGAGGTAATGAAGGATGAGTAAAGTCATACGGCTTGCCCACGATCACACACTGGCCTCTCATTTAGGAATTCTTACTCTGAACCCTACGTTTTGCTCACTGCTTCATGCTGCTTTCTAAGAGAAAAGTGTACTATGTGAAGCAGGCCCCTCAAGAGAGCGACTAGGGTCGTTAGATAAGGACGCCTTCTCTGCAGACTTGGAGCATCTGTGTTGGAAAAGGGTTCCCCACCATGGGGTGGACTGAAGTGCTTCTTGAAGATAAAACCAAACCAATTGCCCTCAAGTTGCTTCCGATTCACAGCAACCCCATAGGACAGAGTAGGCCCGCCCCACGCACGGGGTTTCCAAGGCGGGCCTCTTTGCACAGGCACGCTGCCCCACCATTCTCACATGACCTGGCTGGTGGGTCTTGAACTGCCGACCATTTGGTCAGCAACTGAGCAGTTCTGGACCCCACTGCTCTATGATAAATCAAGTATGACTAACTAGAAAGGCTGAGAGGCGTGATTCGGGGAGATGTGGAGGGTTTTGGCTGTGTTCTACTGCAGGATCCATGTCGGAGAACTGTACGGAGAAAGTGGAAATGGACTGGTGGTGCATATTATCCAACAATGCACATGTACAAGTTTCCTTTAAAGTTGGGAAGTGTTGTCATCAGTTACCATCAAATCAGCTCTGACTCGTGGCCAACTTAAGTATAACAGGGTACACTTGCCAGCTTCTATGCCATCACTGTGGTCTGTGATATACCTTGTGCCCATTGTAGCCACTATCAGGGCACTCCCTCTCCTTGAGGATGTCCCCCGTTTTTACTGATGTTACTAAACATGACGTCACTTTCTAGCAGCTGGTCTTTCCCGCTGTGTCCAAAGGAAGAAAGACAGTCTAGAAAGAGAGTGGAGGAATAACTCGATTGAAGTACAGTCCCCATCAGTATTTTATTTTCTACTAAACCTCTTGTGAATTGGGTGATGGTTTACAGAACAGATCAGTTTTCTGTTTGACAGTTCATACACATTCTGTTTCATCTCATTGATTTAAATGTTCCATTACTTACTCCACTTCCTCCCTGGACTTTGTCCTTAGATAAATACCCCCTTCTGATTTCAGATGGTTGATTATTCTAAGGTACATACTCCCCTTACAGACCTGTCCATGGTTTGGCTGCCAATTGAGCCATGGGATTGAGTTTTTTTTCTAGACTCCTAGGGCCATGGTCTCAGGAGTTTCAAGTTTCTGTCTGGCCAGTAGTTACTGTTGACAGGTGCCATCCAGACAGTTCTGACCGATCGCGACCCAGTACACCACAGATGAAACACTGCCTGGGCCTGCGCCTGCGCCATCCCCACTCTTGTTTCCGTGCCTGAACCCATTGTTGCAGCCACTGTGTCAGTCTGTCTCCTGGAGGGATTTCCTCCTTTTCACTGTCCGTCTGCTTTACCAAGCATGATGTCCTTCTCCAGGGACTGGTTTCTCCTGACGATCCGTCCAAGGCACGTCAGAGGAAGTCTTAGCGTCCTTACCTCTCAGCAGCACTCTGGCTGTTGCTTCGTCCATGACAGATTTGTTTGTCCTTTCGGCAGTCGTAGTACTCTAAGTATTCTTCTCTCGCCCCGCAATTCAAATGCATCAGTTCTCAGAAAGCAGATGTTTTGAGAATGATGATGGCAGCAAATGTGTTTGACACATGGATGGATATATGGATTGTGATTAGCGTTGTATGAGCCCCCAATAAAATGACTTTTTAAAATGCATCAATTCTTCTTCAGTCTTCTTTATTCATTGTCCAACTCTCACATGCAGGGCGTCAGTGGAAAATACGATGCCTCTGGGGAGGTGTTCCTTAGTCTTCAAAGAAACTCCCTTGCTTTTCCATACTCTAACGGGGTCTTGTGCAGCAGATTGACCTAATGCAATCTCTTTTGAACTTTTGACTGCTGCTTGCATGAGCATTGAGTATGGATCCAAGCAAAATGAAATCCTTGATTACTTCAACCTTTTCTCCATTTATAATGTTACCCGTTTGGTCCAGCGATGAGGATTTGGGTCTTCTTCACATTGTGTCGTAATCCAGACTGCAGGCTGCAATCCCGGATCTTCATCAGCAAGGGCTTCCAGTCCTCCTCACTGCAGCAAGCAAGGTTGTGGCATCTGCATATCGCAGGTTGTTATAAGCTTTCCTCCAATCCTGATGCCACATGCTTCTTCATATAATCCAGCTTCTCTCATGATCTGCTCAGCTTACAGTTTGAATATGTAGGGTGAGAGGAAGACACCCCGACGCACACCTTTCCTGGTTTTAAACCCTGTGGTATGCCCTTGTACCATTTGCACAACTGCCTTTTGGTCCACGTGTGTGAGCACAATGAAGTGTTTTGGAATTCCCATTCCGCTCAGGGTTATCCACCGTTTATTATGGTCTACACAGTCAAGGGCCTTGGCAGTCAGTGAAACACCAGTGAACATCTTTCTGGTACTCTGGCATTGTCGGAGCAGTAAGCCTTGTGTTTTTATTATTTTGAATTTTGTTCCACATTTTTTTCTTCACTCTGCCCTAGGCCTTCTGCGATCCCTTTATGAGCAGTTGGTAGCGGAAGCAGGACACCACCGAGTTGCTCTGCCCTTGGGGTTGTGGAGTCTGAAACTTGGGCTGTCCGTTAGTCCAGCGGGCGAACTGCTTCCATTGTCTTTCTTCCAGACCAGGGAAAACGAAGAGCTGCACCTTGGGTGACCACTCGGGAGTCTTCTCACCAAAATAGAATATAAAGATTGTCTTTGTGGACTTAATAATTGATTTTGGGGGTCCTCTGAGACTGGTTCTGAGGCCTGGGGACAAGAGAGGTGGTTATATTTAAGAAGTTTTCAAAACTTTCCCCCTTGTTTGTTCTGTCTCGTTCATGAGTGTCTTTGCAGCAAAGATGCATCTCACTGCCATCGAGCCAATGGTGACGCATAGTGACCCTATAGGACAGGGTAGAACTGCCCCTGTGAGTTTCAGAGACTCTTAACTTTCTGGGAGTGGAAAACTCTTGTCTTTCTTTCACAAAGATAAAGACCCATGTACAAATAGCCTTCATCAACTCTGCCTCTCTTTGTGAGGATCATCCAATTCTTCCTTCCTCCCACCCCTGGCCAGCCTGTCTGTCTATCCCAGCATCTCCTCACAGATGACCATTATCACAGGACTTGGATGCAACAGTGTTTGCCTCTGTGGCCTTTAACTCTCATACTTCTTCCAGTATCTTTCCCTGCTTCCATTTTGCCTTTATTGACCAACCTCCCACTTATGTTATATTGCCCCAAGTTAGCACATCTTCTAGCCAGTGACTTATTCTCCCTCCCTCTCCCGCCCCTAGGGCCCATCAAAGAATGTTTGTTGTGGTGTGAAAACCTTTTCTTGACATTTTACAAACTAGTCTCATATATTATTTGCTCTTTGATGATCAACTAATTTCTCTTAGCATATTGTCCTCCAGTTTTATCCATATTGTAAATGAGGTGTTTCGTAGATTCTTCATTATTTAACAGTTCATAGTGTTTCATTGGTGCACGTAGCATAGTTTTTCTCATCTATATTTTCAAAGCCTTTCGTGTTCCTATTTCGAGCTTCATTGAACTTCTTTCTCCCAGGTATGTATAGCTGTTTGGTGTTTGTGTTTGTTTTTATCTTACAGTGTTAGCCTCTGAATTTGATAGATCATTTTTTATCCATCTGAGAAGTCCTGCTTTATCTTTTTATTTTCTAAATGAAGTCTTCTATTTCTTTTCCTCTTTTTGCTGTCGTCTATCTGATGCTGCTCCCATGTTTTGTGAATTTCACTTGGGTAGCTAGCTATCTCCTCTATTGCCATGTAGCTTTAGAAACAGGCTTCAGTGAGTAACCTGCCACACCAGTGCTTGGTTCATGGTTGATATCTGGATTTTCCCCCTGAACCGAGATGAAGGAAACCAACTTCTTTCTTTGCTTTTCAGGTCCTACCTCGAACACAAGACCTCCATGAACTATATGCTGGCAACACGTCTCTTCCAGGACAGGTGGGCACTTGCTGATGAATATCATAAATATACTTAGGATGTATGATGAGGTCACCCAAAAAAGCACGACATTATTTTATGGATGTCCTCTGATATCTGATAGAAGGGTCCTTGCAGAAAGCACACTCTAACCTCGTTTTTCTAGGATTTATCATTAACTCTTAACAATTTTTAGTATACTCAGAAACCAACGGATCTTTGAGCAATTCCCAGCAGCCACCCTGAGCTTTGTTTTTCATAAGGAAGGCCCTGCTGTGGTCTTTTTAGTGGAGACATAATTTTCACAGACTTTACGATTTGATATATGATAGTTTTTAAAAATTTATTATTACTGCAAGAACATAGAATGATCGCATTAGGAAAGGTACCGGGGAGGAAAGTCACAAAATAAATACAGGAGTAAGAAACAATACCTGGTATTTTCTTAAGGAGGGGAAGTAAGGAGAAATCACGGAAAACCGACATTGAGATTCAAATGCATAGTACTTCATGGATTACTTAGCCCTGCATACCTTTGTAGTGCCTGAGACATAACTACATCCTAAAACAATTCCAGAATTTATTGTCGAAATGAGGCCCCCTCCTTATTTAGAGAAATCTGTGCTTTTAGGATGTGTGATTTTGTAAAGTATTCTTTGAACAGATACCCAGATTTCAGTCGTTTCTACCAATTCCAGAATTGATTGTCGAAATGAGGCCCCCTCGTTATTTAGAGAAATCTGTACTTTTAGGATGTGTGTTTTTATAAAGGATTCTTTGAACAGCTACCCAGATTTCAGCCATTTCTTGTAATCTCATGATTAATTGTCAGGAAATTTGTAGACTTTGAAATCCTTGTCTGAAAATTTGTGATACTCCCCTGGGAAGTAAGTAATTACAATGGGTTGTTTTCATTAAAAGAGGTTTGGGGATTTACTTAGAAAATACATCTCAATTTTTCAACCTTCTGCACACACCCCACCCCCCGTAACTTGTTATAAGTTTCCTTTATGTTAAGAGTTTACCTATTTTGCTAGGGTGTGTTCTGGTGTGTCCGTTTTCAGTACTGTGATTTTGCAGTTGAGTAGATTAAAGCTATGAATCCATCGGAGTAACTTTGTCAGACGTTTTAAAGCTTTATCTGAAGGGTTTTCTTGGTTTGAGCTGAACTAGAGAAAACCGTTATTTGAATGAACAAATTTAATGTCATATGAATACTATATGATTATAATGTGACAATATCAGGACATTAGCATGGGAAGAAGACATGGGAGAGGGGGGAAATATCTTGGGGAAGATTTGCACTCATAGATTAATTTTCTATAGATATATCCAGCATCTATCATCCTGATTCCATTTGTATAACTCTTTGAAAAGATAAAATGTTATAATAGCAGATTAGTGGGAGCTATGCCTAGTGGAAAGGAAACAGGGTTACTACAGGTTAAAACAGGAGGCTCTTTTGATACTGGAGCTGTTAGTATTTTGTGTGTGGATTATACGTGAACCTTCACAGGTGGTAAAATTTACACAATTAAGTATGCACATAAGAACTGAACAGTGCAGCACCCGAAGAAGATGAGAAGCACACACGGAATCGTTGCGCCAAGAAGAACTGCCAATTCACAGCCAGGTGGTCCTGAAGGAAGAAGTGCAAGTTGCCCTGCACAGCATGGGTGAAAAATGAGACCCTGTGAGTTGATGGAATAACAACTATGTTGCTTCAAAAAGTGCCGGATGCTCATTTATCTATGCCAAGAAATTTGGTGCATAGCTGCTTGCCCAGCTGACTGGCAAGGATCCGTATTTGTGCTCCTTCCATAGAAAGAGGATCCAATCAAATGTGGAAATTAACAAATACTGTCATTGATGTCACATGTCAGCAAAATTTTGCTGATGATAATTCAAAAATGGTAGCAGCTGACTGACCACAGGACATTGCCAGGCATTCAAGCCAATTCAGAATGGGACACCGAACTAGGGGTAGCATTGCTAATATCAGGTAGATGTTGTCTTATTGATTCTTTCCATTGTTTTTTTCCCCCCGATTCATTAATTTCTACTGTATTCGTTATTATTTCTTTTCTTCTGGTGTCTAAAGGTTTATTGTTCTAGTTTGATATTGGAATAGGGTGTTGATTTTGTTTTTTCTTTGATGTGTGCAAGTATTGCTATAAATTGTCCTTTGAGTACTGCTTTTGCTGTATCCCAAACCCTTTGGTATGTCATATTTTCATTTTCATTAATTTCAAGGAATTTTAAATTTCATTCTTTATTCAACTAGCCAGTAGTTTTAAAGCAGAGTGCTATTCAAGTTTCTATGTTTTTTATTTTTCTTGTCTTCCTATTGCTGATTTGATTTATAATATCTTAATGTTTTTAATGTTTGCTTTGAGGCTTAACGTAGAATCTATTCTGGAGAATGTTCATTGTGTGCTGGAAAAGAATGTACCGTATATACTTGAGTATAAGCTGACCCGAATATCAGGCGAGGCACCTAACTTTACCACAGAAACTGCATTAAAAATGTGCTGAAACTCAGCTTATACATGAGTACATACGGTATATACGGTGCTGCATTTAGATGGCGTGTTCTGGAGGGCACGCCTGGGAGGGCAAATGGGCTGAGTTGTTTACCTCACCTTTGTCTCTGGAGTTCCTGCTAGTTCTGCCCTTCCTTGAGAGCGTGGTCTTGAGACCGCCTTGTGGTGTGGGGTCTCTCCCTCTCCTCACAGGACGGGGGTTTGATGAATGTCTTTGGAAGGTCTTTCATCGAGCCTTTCGTTGCATGGGTATTTATCATGGTACGTCTTCCTATGCAGTTGTCTCTTTGATCATTATGCAGTGCCTTGTGTGTGTGTATTTTGCCTTGAAATCTATTTAATCAAAGGTTAATATTGCCATTCCTTTTTTGTAAACTGCCATAAACTTGATAGATTCTTTCCTGCCCTTTGATTTTTAGTCTATTTTTGTCTTTTTGTCTAATAGGCAGCATACTGATAGGTCCTATTTTCTTATCAGTTATGCTCTCCTCTGTCTCTTGACTAGTGTATTTATCCATCTGCATTCACTGTTGTTACCTGTTAATTCATAGCTGTCATTTTGGCTGTGTGTGTGTGTGTGTGTGTGTGTTGGTTCCTCATAATTTTCGCAGATGGATCTTGGTTGAAGCAGAAAGCGTCAGAAAGATGTTTAGCTGTTTGATTAGTTACGCAAAGGCATTCCAGTCTGTCCATAGAGTATGGACAAGATTGCAGAGTGGGAAATAGAGACCATTTAATTGTGCTCAAGTGCAACCTGTACGTAGAGGAAGAGGCAGTTGTGTGAATCAAACACAGGGATACGGTATGGTTTAAAATCAGGAAAGGTGAGCGTCAGTGTGGTGTGGTGTCCTTGCACCGCAGTTATTCAGTCTGTATGCAGAGCAGATAATCCAAACAGCTTCACTGACTATAAGAAGAAGGTGGTGTCAGGATTGGAAGAGACTTATTGACAACTTTTGATATGCAAATGGCACATCCTTGTTTGTCAAAAATGAAGAGCACTGGAAACAGTGCACACATGACAGCTTTTAATATGGATGATACTTCGACATAAAGGAAACAAAATCCTCACAAATGGAGCAGTAAACGACATGATGATGAATGGAGCAAAGACTGAAGTCACTAAGGATTTCCTCTTACCTCGAATCCACGTGAATACCCATGGAAGCACAGCAGTCAAGAAATCACGCGATATTCTGCAGTGGCACATCTGTTGCCGAAGACGTGCTCAAACTAAAGGTGTCTATCTGAGGACCAAGATGCACCTGATAGAAGCCGTGTTATTTTCAATTGCTTCAGATGCATGCAAAGGCTGCGTGGTGTAAAGAAAACCAAGTAAGAATGAATGACTGACTATGGTATTGACGGAGAATGTTGAAGTTACCCTGGGACTCCCAGAAGAAAGAATGTTTCTTGGGACAAGCACAGGGAAATGTCCCGTAGAAGCAAGGCTCTTGAGACTTCATCTTCAAATACTTTGAACATGTCATCAAGAGGGACCAATCGTTGGAGAGGATATCATGCTTAGTAAAATAGGTTTAGCCAACAGTGGGCTCAAATTTAGCAGCATTTATTAGGATGGCAGGACCAGCAATGTTTTGGTTGTACATAGCTGGCATGTGCTGCGCCTGACTTCAAGGCACCTATCAGCAGTGCAGGGAGCCCTTGTGGGGTAGTGTCTACACACTAGGCTGAGATCCGCATGGTGGGCAGTTGGAGACCACCAGCAGCTCTGCAGGAGAAAGACGGGGCTTTCTAATCCCCTAAACAGTGACAGTCTCGGAAACCTTGAGAGTCCTGGAAAGTCGCTGAGTCAGCATTGACTCGGTGACAGGGAGTCTCATTTTGGGTTTATGGGGTAGAATGTACTCTGGCAGACTGAGCTCGTCACAAACATCTTCGCATCCTCTGTCTTCCTGTATGTAATGGGACCCAGAATAATCTTCACGATTGTGAGAAGCACGTGGGATTTGCTTCGTACGTTGCTGTGCACATGCAAGTAAAGTTACTGATGTTTCTCTAGGTTTCCCCTGTCCTTTCCCTTTCATTTCGTGTGGAGCTCTTCTCACCCCCAGCGTTCCAATCACCGCGGAGCATGTGCTCCATGCCTCTGTGCTGCCCCTTAGGACTTCCCACCCTTGGGTGTCTAGGTCCAGGTTGAATCCCTGCAGTAAAACTTTCAGGAATGTGTATGTGTTTGTGTATGTGAGTTCCTGAATAGCATTCTCTAACCCAGATGTCCTTTCTACTCTCCAGGGGAAATCCAAGAAGAAGCTTGTTGGCCGGAAGAACACGGTAACTGATTTTTAAAGGTTGAGAAACTGTTCCCGCATGCATAGTGTGTGACCATACACAGACCAAGCATGGCCGGTTGTATGACCGTTTTCAGTTTGCCTCCACGTGAATAACCGCATAAAAGCATGTTCTGTTGATTCTACCATGCGGCCAAGCCTCACAAACTTAGGCTGGGATTTCGTATAGAAGGTACAGATAATACACATCAACTTGTTCTGATTGTGTGAAATACAATAATGTTATCCTTGTTGAGTTGTATGGCGGTTAGTAACATTTTTAATGAGCATTGAGACAACTTGCCGCAGTAGGTTCCGGTAAGAGCTCATTTTCTGGCCCTGACATCTGGGTATGTACAACTCTGTACAGTCAGGGACTGAGCAGAAGCTGCTTCCAGTTTGCCCCAAGACTGGAAGTGTACACAATATCTGTGGCTCTTCACTGAGGCCAAGGAGAGGAAGGACTTGGGGAAAAGGCTGGGATGGCTGTGCCTTCAGAAAGAACCCTGGAACCACGACCAAGCCCACACCAGCAGACCAGCGCTCCGGTCACAGAGCGCTGAGACGAGGAGGTGCCGGACCCCCGTCCTCTGCCTGCAGTGACAGCGATGCCAAAGAAACCTCTGAGCCTAGAGCTTTCAGAAATCATTTAAAACAAACTTGGTTTCTTATCCAAGCTCTTTGGGTCAGCAGCTATTGTTTTCTTCACAGAAGGGGTCAACATTACATTTGTCGTTTAGTCACGGGAGAAACTGAGAGAAATCAAGTTTGTCGTTTGACTTCAAGTGAAAATCACACTCAGCTCTGAGTTCTTTCCTATTTATTTTTAATCCTTTTATTGGGGGCTTGTACAATTCTTATCACAATTCATACATACATACATTGTGTCAAGCACACTTGTACATTCGTTGCCATCATCATCCTCAGAACATTTGCTTTCTACTTGAGCCCTTGGTATTCCTTTTTTTTTTTTTAAATCAAGGCATATGCCTCCTAGAATATAATACGTATCAGTCTGAACACTTCAAAACTAAGGGGGAAATCTTTAAAAAGAACGTTTAAAGTCAAGGCGACTGTCCTTTCTCCATTTGTCTGCACTCATTTAACCTTGCCATCAAGAAGGATTTTTTGTTGCTCTCGTAAGCCAATAAAAACTAGAATCTGCTTTTGTTTTAAAACATCTATTGATAGTTATTAAATGCAGGCACATTCAGAGACAGCCGTGACACACTACCTTTCTTTAGCGACGGCCACAGTACTCCTAAAATGGAACTAGACCAGGTGTCTGTCAAGTCGAGACGAGGTACGCTGTGGATTGATTAGTCAGGCAGAGTGCTCCTACTCACCAGTGAAAAGACACGTGGCTGCTGCTGCAAGCATGAGGGACTCTCCAAACCACTGAACGAAGGAAGCCACACAGAACCGTTCAGACTGTGCGGTGTCGTCGTTAAGTCCGGAAACAGGCAAAGCTAATGATGTGTGATGGCGAAATTTGGAGTTGTGATTGTCTGGTCCTAAGATTGACTGGGAATGGGCCTGAAAATTTTTTTGAGGTGATTCTAATATTTTCTATAGAGTTTGGATTACATAGGTCTATGTAAGCATTTGTTAAAACTCATCAAATGGACAGTTAAGATTTGGATAATGCACTCACATACAATTTACCTCACCGTAAATGTAAGTGAGGAAAGTTTTAAAACAAATAATCTCTAGCGATTAATCATATACATGTTAGAGTGTTTAGATCAAGACGCACACACGTTTGCAAACTACTTTGAAATGCTTTAAGAATGAGATGGGTTGATGAAGAAGTAAAACAGGGGTCCTCAAACTTTTTAAACGGGGCCAGTTCACTGTACCTCAGACCCGTTGGAGGGCCGGACTATAGTTTTTTAAAAAAAAACTATGAACAGATTCCTATGCACACTGCACATATCTTATTTTGAAGTAAAAAAATAAACGGGGCAGAAACACCCACTGGGCCAGATAAATGTCCTCTGCTGGCCGCAGTTTGAGGACCCCTGAAGTAGGGGAATGGATGGCTGGATATATATGTGATGAGAGAGGTATATGACGAAATACTAGGTGGTGGGTATGTGGGTGTTCACCGCACAGTTCTTTGAACTTGTCTGTTTAGATGTTTTCATCCTAAAATGTTGGGAAAATCCAATAGGTGTAACTAAAGGTGTGACAGCTTATTTATAAATTAGCTGGTATATATGAGTTGTCATGCACATCACTGATGGAGTGATCACAAGACAAGCATAGTTGGTGCCGTCCGAGGACGGTCGTTCTTCCGTATCAGCTCTGCCCCTTCTCCACCATCCCCGGTGCTCTGTCCTTTTTATCAGTTGGAATTGATCTACCCATGGTTTCTTCACACCTTGTCCCGCTCTGATTTTTAGTATTCATAGCCTCAGAAGCTTTGTATTATGGTATGATGTTGAAAACATTGCTAACAGCTCTTTATCCTGAAAATGGGTTGCCATTATTGGGTGTAACCTCTTGTAGGGACTGCACAGGACCCTCTGTTATACATGGGGTTTCTCTGCAGCACCGAATGACAGCTGCATTCTGCAAGATGGAGCTCTTGGGCAGCACAGGCAGAAAGAACGACAGACACTCCTGTGTTTATAATGGGCATTGCTTCATGAGCACAGACATTAGAAGTATCAGATTAACTTCCACCCATGTGATCTGGGTGAGGCAAAACCATGAAACTAACTCAACTCAAATTCCATTTTTAAAAGCGTGCCCCCTCCTGGGAGGGCCGAGCGTTTGTGTGCTTTTGTGGATGGAGATGTCAGGTGTACCGATAGATTTCAGATTTGGTGGAGCTAAATGGCACGAGTATTTTTTATTTTCCTCAGATTTGTCCTTGTTATTTAATTAGCAGAAAACCTACTGTTCACGGTTTTGTGAGGTTTGCTTTAGGAGTTATGATAAGTTGGGTTTGAACTGTTTGTAAAGTTTTTTAACTTGCTTCCCGTTTCTACCCCCGGAGTCAGGACCTTCTCTGTTCTTGGCCCAGCTCCTGCTCTGGAGAGAAGGCCTTCGGAAGATTTATTACCGAGTCTATCCACCCAGAAATTCCGATCCAAGAGCCCTAAACAGATCAAAGACACCACCTTTCCATCCAATTCAAAGAGTGAAAACTCCCAGAGAAATTAAGCGTAGTCTTTGACCTCAAAGGGGATTGCTCAGGAACATACAGAATTCTCCAAAGGATCCAGGGCCAGCTGGTTAGACCCCGAGTTCTCAGGGTACAGATACCTGTCAGCCTGTTTTCAGATACGGACATGGGTCCTTCAGAACTCATGCCCTCTGTGACGACCCCGCCATCTCTGGCTGCCTTACAATTTGCCCGGAAGGCCTTGTCTGGACTTAGCCGCATGTCAGTCACTTCCCTGATTTGGGGGTTGTTTAAAACTGTAGCTGAAGTCCCCTGTGGCTGCTACCATCCCTTCTCCCGCCTCTTTCCACATTCATAACCTAATCGAATTTGGTCTTTTCTGCTGCCTTCCCCTGTGTGCACTAAATCAAGGGTCCAATAAGCAAACCCCGCTTCCATTGCTTTTGCGTGTTGAGGATCAGAACCATTTCCCAAGTATGGGAATGGATCCTGTCCTACAGTCCCCCTTTTGCCTCCTCTTCAGGTGCTCGCCTGGCATACACACACAACCCCAGCCCCCAGAGCTCTAGGTCAGAGCTTACCCGTGAAGACACCTTACAGATCGGCGAGTGAAAGCCCCTTTAGCGTTCACTGATCTCTGTGGGTTCATTAATTTATTGAATGACTCTCATAAGCTCCGAGGAATATATGGCTATAATATTACTAACAGCCAAAAGGGTTACAAATGAAGACACCCTTTGGGTGAGGTCTGGAAGGGCTCTCAGCATGTATCCCCCTTGCCCATGCATACCAACCAGGAAGCTCCACTGAACCTGTGTGGTTCAAGGCCTTACCATTCTCAGCTCTTGGCCATGATAGATTGCAACCTGCCCAGGGAGGCTGAGTCAGCTGTTGACCCGGGGAGCGAGTCCTCTGGTCAACCCCTGCTCATTAGCTTCAAGTGTTGATAGATTTCAAAAGAACCAAGAATAAAGGCAAAATTGCTTTTTTGCAAGGTTTAAAGATAAAAGAATAACAACAACAAAGCACACGCCTCTTGCCACCACAGAGTATAACAATGTGTTACTAGTTTTTCCTAGTCGTTTAAAGTGGCCCTTGATTGGAGGGGTCATAATGTAATAGCAGTATCACTAGCAGGATTACTTGATTACACTTGAATGTTGCCTTCAAAATATACCTTTGTGTAGAATATTTTACAAATCCAGGTCAGCCACTAGTGCAGTTCTGAGGTAGATTCCAGTGGCACTTCCATCCATTTATCTGTCAAACTTCTTAGATGTCCCTTGAGTTGCCATGCCTCGCCTGTCCTTACAGAATCCTTCCATGCTTGCAGCATAATCTCGGGAACAGTTTCCAGAGGCTGTAGCTAGCATGTTTGTTTGGTTTTTTTCTTTAGAATACCTTGTGATGGAACTCTCGAATTGAAGGTTGAGAGTATGAATTCAAAGGCCAAGATGCATGCTGCTCTTTACGAGCGGAAGCTCCTGTCCCTGGAAGTGCGGAAACGTAGACGACGGAGTGGCAGATTAAAAGCCATGAGGCCCAAATACCCAGGTACCTGCTGGTGAGCGCTCATCGGACTGCCCCATCCTGGCTCAGCTAGCCTGATCACCAGCCTCTCAATACTGAATGAGTCGGAGTCTTCCTGCTTCAATAGACTTACTTTCTTTTATCTCATTTCTTTCTCTAAAATTTAATGTCCCAAGGATTATGAATGTTTAAACCTTCCATTGTGTAATATTTGAATGATGTGTGAAGCAAACACACTGTGGCATTTGCTCTTCTTCTTCAGCATCATCTACCTAGTGCTGTAGCTTTATAGTTAGCTTAAGTTTAATGGCATCCTGGGCATTATTGTGCAGGTTTTGATGTTAAGGTCATAAGCCCAGTTTATCCTTTGGCATTGCTGAACATCGTACGCATTCCAAACGTAAATAGACAAAGGGACATTTCTTTCTATCCCAGATTCTTCCCTGTTCCCGCAGGTCTGCTTACCACTTCCTGCCAAGCCCCCCAACTAACTCCTTTTCTACCTTCCCTCTTTTGCTGAGCACTAGTATAGGGCAGCATGTCCACCACTGGATGTAGATCAGAGGACACTGCATCAGCAGAGTACAGAATACAAGGGAGTGTTATAAAACATTGGGGGGGGCGGGGGGCGGGGGGGGGGGAAACTTTTTCAGTTCCGTTTTCCTGTGAACTTTTTTTGAAGTCCCTCATACACGCCCCCTGCTCTTCTTAGTTCCACGAAGCCCTTCAAAATCTGACACCCCAGAGTGATGGCTCATCTAAGATTTCTTTTTTCCCTCTTAATGTTGTGAGAGCCATTTTTTATCTTAGGCTTAAAAATACCAACTCGAATGAAGATCCTTAATAGGTTCGTAGAATATATATGTATGTACGAGAATACTTTTGGCCTTGCATGTGATCTGGTTTAGAAGTGGGTTTTTACTAAACATATAAAAGGAAGGTATTGGGAGAGCGGATTATTTAATCCTTTTTTCAGCAACATAGTGATTCTTCGCATTTAGTGATTACCAAACCAGCTGAAATGAATGTTAAAACTGAGACAGAGAGTGAAGAGGAGGAGGAAGTTGCATTAGACAATGAAGATGAAGAGCAAGAGGTGTCCTTGGAGGAGTCTGCAGGGTCCCTTGGAGAAAATCAAGCCAAATACACCCCCCCACTGAGCGTTATGGTAGAAAATACGCCCAAAGAAGCTTCTTTGAAAGTTTCCGAATGGAGTAAAGGTGACCAGAACTGCAAAATTGAAGCTCAGGAGCCAGAGCCTAAATTCAACCTGATGCAGATTCTCCAAGACAATGGAAATCTCAGGTATGTGCCCTTTATAATTGTGACCATGATACTGATAACAGCGAGCTCAGTGTGCATACCAGGTACAGCGTTAATGACTGAAAGTACAGCCGTCTGAAAGTTTACTATTCATAACTGTTTTACGAAATCACGACCGTGATTGGATATTGCCATTACTCAGGAGCCCTAGCGAAAGTAAGTCCATTGTCCCTGGTAAAGGTGATACGAACCAAGACCCACCAGGTGTTTGTTGGTCATTAGTGACAGCTAAGGAGCCCTGGTGACATGGTGGGTTCCTGACCAAATCTCCCAGCCACTCCAGGGGAGAAAAGTGCCTTCTAGGAGTTCCTGTAAAGACTCAGCACCCCGGAAACTCAAAGGGATGGTTGTGCTCCCCCTCGTCGGGTTGCTATGAGTTGGTACGGACACCCTGGCAGTGAGTTTGGTCTGGAGTTTTGGGGCCAGTGGTTCCTGGGCTGCTCCTGGAAAAGCTGGCAGTGTGCATGCACCCAGAGGGCTTTGGAAGACAGGTCTGAGAGACCAACAAGCAGGTGACCGCGCTGTGGAGCACAGTTCTCTGCCCCACGCAGGCGCATCACGAGTCAGAATGGATTTGAGAGTGAATAGTGAGGTTGGGATTTGAGGAAACACGTCTGATCCGCCATAGCTGCCCCAGCCAATGGCTGCAAGGCAGAGGTCCGTCAGATATGTCTCCACCCTCCATCCTTTTATTCCACTCAAATATTTGACACCCACTGCTCCTCTTCACCCCGCCTCCTCCCCCTCCAGCAATTTGCTTCTGTGACTGGGTGTGATAATTCACTGCCGTGGTCACACAGAACTCAGACGACACTCACGATTGTGGGAGTGTCTAGGGACATTAACAGCTGACAGTTCAGTGAGAGATGCTCAGGATACAATTGTTCAGTCAAGACAGTTTCTTCTCTGAGTGCCCACAGGCAGGCCTCTTGCGGGCCTGACTCTGCCCTGCTTAGGCAATGTCACAGAGCTCTTTGGGGGCTGCTGGTAAATGCCCACCTGTGACTCTCCCAGAAGCCTCAGCTGGAGGCACTCAGCTCTGGCTCCATGGGTCAGCAAACCCAGCGCCCCCAATTAATTGCTCAGAGGCAGCCCCCAGAGCACTCACCTTTACTTGCTTCTTGGGCCGAGCGGCGCCCTGCTGGGCTCTGTCTCTGCCACTGGTGCTGCACCTCTGCACCTCTGGTGTCCCAGTGTCTCCTGGGCCGAGGAGGGGCCGGGCGGGCGTAGGGAACAAAGACCCTCGCCTCTCCTGCTCTTCTCTTTTGCTGGTATGAAGAGGAGAGGAGGCTCCTTTGAATACCCAGCAGGCCAACAATCACAATGAACGCTGCTATCAGTCACTCCTAGCTAAGTCATATGATCCCATCAGTATCCTCCCGCCCCCGCCGCCGCCTCCTTTCACAGGCTCATCAGGAAGCGAAGGTGGTTAGGTGAGCATAACAAAGGCTGTGATTAGAAGGACGGGGATCAGTCCTTCACTGCCTTGCAGGTTTGGATTGGTGTCCTCAGCAAGCCCCCACGGTGACTGAGGCGGGTGGGGGGGGGGGGGCAGGCTGCCACTCCTGGTCTCCCCTGGGAGGCACCTACAGCTGTAGAGCTCTGGCCCCAGCACGGACTGCATGCTCTTCCAGAGCAAACCTGCTGCCGGGCGTCGCTCCCACTCCCTGGGAGCCACCGACTGGCCCCATCTTTCTCTCAGGGAAGCTGGTGGGTCTGAGCCGCCTTTCAGTGTGCAGCGAGTGCTCAGCCAGGGCCCCTCGGCTCCTCAGACACAGAAGTGGTAGTCCTGGTTTAGCTTGGGATTATTAGAAAGGCATGCGGAGGAGGCAGTATTTGAACCAGATCTTGACCGTTGAGTGGGGTTTCAGGGGCTTGGGGGTTGGGGGATGACAGGGGGCTTGGGAATGCTCAGGAGAAACAATGAGGCAGCCATTCATTCAGGCTTCAAAGTGGGTGCCAAGCGCCTGCTCTTTGCCGGGAACTGTGCACACGGCAGGCTTGTGGTGCTTATGGGCCGGGTGGGAGACCGAGAGCAGACCGAGGAAGAAGGTCGTGAGAAGCGCTGAGACGACCCTGACAGCAAAAGCGTGGTGCCAGCGAGTCCTGCGGAGGAGGCTCTTTGAGATGGTGCCTCCTGGAGACCAGGAAAGGCCACCTCTGAGCCTGGTGCCTTCGCCATGGGACTGTCTGGGGACAGACAGCGTATGCTAGGGCTCTGCCATCCAAATGAGCTTGGGGTGTGTGCGTGTGAGGGGTGGTGGTCGTGCAGATCAGTCATGAGGTTCTGTGGAGAAACTAGGTGGGGTAAGACATGAGGCTGAAAAGATTGGGTGTCGCTACATTTCTGAAGAACCTTGTGATCCTGGGCCTTCATCTTTAAGCAGCCCACGGATAGAACTAGAACTTGTTTTGGAAAGGGAAGTCTGGCTGCGGGGGCCACCGGTGAAGGGTGAAAGGAGAAACGAGAGGCAGGGAGCTGAGTCCGGGGCTGTTAGGACGCAGGCCTGGGCCCGAGCCCCCGGCGGTGGGCACGGAGAGAGTGCGTGGCTTGATGACATGTGCAAGGTGCCCCCTCAGGACTTTGCTTCCGACGAGGCTTAAGCGCGCCAAAGGAACGGAATGACTCTAGTTGATAGAAGGCACATGGGAGTTGGTTTCAAAGGAGGAGTACTGGGTTCCACTGGGGACATCAGGGGAGCCCGCAGGACAGGTGAGACTCCAGTGTCACAGGACAGGGTTGAGCAGTTTGTACACTTAGTGTGGAGCGCTTTCATAATGCACGAGCTTGCCCATTTCCGTTCCCACCGTCACAAGTAGACCAAGAGAAAGGGACGAGAATTCGGCCCTGGGAGACACGGGGTTGAGTGGCTAGATCCACAGAGAGACCAAGAAGTGGCGATTAGAGGGTGAGGCATGTACGCAGAAGGGGCTAGCGTGGCAGTAGCTGCAAGATGCCAGGCCCCAGTCCATACAGGGCCACGGACGAGGAAAGCAGGCGTTCGGCCATGTGTGCTTGGGAATTTGCAGCAGAGGAAATGGAAGGATTTGGCAGTGACGGGAAGGTGAGAGTAACTGGGGGCAGAGTGCACTGAGAGAAGGGTGGTTCCTTTACCAGCAGGCTTCCTGGATGCATTTGGAGATGGAGTGGGACTTCGATGGCAAGAGGACTAGAGATGTAGAAACAGATACACTGATGTAGACAGGGCCTAAAAAAGGAGGTGGAAAGAGGCGAGTGAAGAAGGTGTCTGAAGAGGCGGGGGCAGGAGGGGTGGCACAGCAGCAGGGAGAGAGCATAGGGTGAATACAGTCCTTAGAGATGAGAAAGGAAAGATGCTTGGGGGTTTATGCTTGATGGCCTTCCTGTTCACATGGAAGCCGGTGGTTCACACCGAGAGGGTGCAGGGTGACGTAGGGGTGAGTGTAGGGGCAAGGGAGCAGACCGAGAGTTCAGGACAATGTGGAGAACTCCAGCAGCTCCCTTAGTGGAGCGCACCTGGAACCCAGGAGCCTGCGCTCTGGCCAAGATCTTGTTGCCTAAGACGGGCTGTGTGATCTGGGGAAGCCAAGGGGCCGGCTTCTCCAGGCCTCAGTGCCCTTTTCTGTCAGAGTGAGATTAGGCACGTGTTTTCAAATGGTGCTTCCTGGAGGGGAAGTATTGAAAATAAAAACGTTTTGGAAACCACTCAGCTATATTCTCAGCTCCTTTCCAGAACTAACGTTCCCCTCGGTGATTGGAGAAAAGTTACCTCTTGCTGCACTCTGTGGCTCTCACTGCCAGCGAGTCAACTGGTCTTCACAGCGTTGTTAGACCAGTGCTTTTCTGGTGGCCCCAGGGGCAGCCTGTGGTCTGTGGGTATCACAGCATCCACTGAGGGGCCAGGGAAAGGTCTCTGTGGCCAGCGCTTTGGGGTCCCAAAGCCCCAGCTCCCTAGTTGTATGTTTTATGTACCTTACTGGGGATTCGCATAAGGTTTTGTGTTTTATATAATCTTTCATTGTAGACCACTCTGGTTTTCATTCCACAGTCATCTTTAACTGTGTGCTGAAGAGAAGTAGCAGCAGGTCAATGTGCCCAGTACCTTAGGGAGGAGACTCTCAAGAGTTAACATTCCAGGCTCTTCTTAATAAGGTGCTTAGAAATGGGAAACTTAGCACTTGTTCCTTTGATTTGCAACAAGCCAGTGCTGGAAATCTCAGCTTGAAGCAAGAATCCCTTTGTGAGCGACCTTCGTACTTTAGTGTCGGGGACTGGGACGTGAAATGGGACACCCTGTAATGTTTGGAGGGGTCTGAAATGTGCCCTTTCTTGATTGCTGTGTTGCAAGTGAATGTGTTGACCAACACGAAGGGTCTTTTTCATTTATTTTTTGTTTGAAAAATCATTGCTTACGGAGGTAAAGATGACTGGCTTGACTGGGGGGAGTGTGGATTATAGTGAACAAGAACATAATGGTTGTCCTTGTTGAGAGGCATTTGAAAATGCATTTGTACTGTTTCAAAATCAGATGGTGTGCCAAGAAACTGCTTTGAAGATCACATGTTTTAAACTCTCCAAACAAATGTATCCCACCTGGACCCCCACCATCCCCACCCACACCCCCGGGCCCCGTCAGCCCCCTCCAGCACACACATAGAAGGCCGTGAAGGATGTCCAGGTAGCTCTGGACACATCCCTCCTCCTGACCCTGGGATCTGAGAGTAGAAAGCGTTCAGTGATTGCCTGTGTGAGGATTGTAAACAAAGTTTGTGTTGGGCCCTAATCTTCGCTGATGTAATTTTGGCCGCAGTGTCAGAGGCCGATCAGCTGAAGTAACCAGAAATCTAGCTTGAAGGAAAACAGATCTGCTAGGAGTAACAGCCGACGTGGAATCCACCAGTGTCTCTCTGCTTCTCCTGCCTTCCTTGCTCCAGCTCCATCACATCTCCTTGTTTCCAACCCAGCCTGCCACGCAGAAGGCCCAGGGGCTCATCAGCAATATCCCAAGGGGCTTTCTCTGCCTTCTCGTGAAGGGTTCCTCCACCACACCCTGTCCCGGCCACGCAGTGCATCCAATCCAGGCTCCATAGGCCCTCACTCATCTGTTCTGGGCTCTGGCCACACAAGTTCCTTTGTAGGATTTATCTATTTCCTGCCCTGGAGGCCTTTGCACACCAACAATACTAGTTGTCAAAGCAAACTCCATACTTTTTCACTAACTGGTAAGTGTGGGGGTTTTTGGATTTTTTTTGGTAAGTGTATTCTTAAGGGCCTCCTAGGCAGAAAACTTTTCCACATGGATTCAGAGTTCTCATGAAGACAAAATACTTATGTCCATTCCCCCAAGAAGTTAAAAAGTTCAAGCTATAAGGTGTAAAAATAGGAAACCTGATTTTCTCTTCCTGTTCTCTCCCCCAGCCCCAAACTCCCACCTCACCCCATGCTAAGGAGAAAATAAATAGGAATCTCCATCTCGGATTGTTTTGATAGGAAAAAGCACCACTTGTCCACACACACCAAAGGGCAACTCAAGTGCTCTTTTGAAGGATATCTATTCAGCTACTGTCTGGTGGGCTTCCTATTTCTTAGCCACGCTAAGAGAATGACCCCCAGAAGCCAGGGTGAGGTAGGCAAGTACACGTGTGGTTGGTTTCCCTTCTGTCTTATAACGGCATGCTGTTTTGGATTTTTATAGCAAAGTGCAGGCCCGAATAGCCTTCTCTGCCTATCTCCAGCATGTTCAAATCCGCCTGATGAAAGATGGTGGAGGTCAAACGCTCAGTACCACTTGGGCCGCCAAAGAGGATGAGCAGATGGTGAGGCTCTGCTTGTTGGAACCTTCTTACTCTCCCTTGTCCTCCTCTCTCTCTGTTTTCCTGTTACGGTAAGAGTAAGAGAGCATTCTATCCTGGGGAAAGAATTATTGCATAGTGCCACTTACTGGTTTCCCTTATTTTAATGGGATGCAAATCTTTGATCTAGAACCCTGTTTGCCACCTGCAGTGAAGGCATCAGTTCATTTCATTCTGAAAATGGGAGCCAATCTCAATGTAAAACTACCCCCCCACCCAAATAACAATTCACAGAGTCCTTCAGTCAAGCATGCTCACGTTGCATCAGCTCTCGGAGTAGGCATTTGTATCCCCATCGTGCAGAGGAGGAAAGGAAGGCCCAGAGGAGAGAAGGAGCCTGCCTGTTGTCTCAGAGCTTGGATGTGGTGAGACTGGAGATTGGTTCCAGATGTTACTGTAAATCCCGTGTCCTTTTATTGTTTTCCTGCACCATAGGCATTGATTCTCAGCCCAGAGGGCTTGATAGTCCTCAGCTTAGCTTTAGGCTCTCTCAGAATACCCCATTCTTCAACCTGACCCTTCACACACACCCCTCTTCCTTTACTAGATGTAGCGCTATAAAATCCTTAGATCCCTGGAATCAAACTTGTCCACCTGTTTCAGACTGCTGCAGGAGCACGGTTTACCGTGTCTCGGTCACTTGAACCTGCCTGCGATAGACTGTTCTGGCAAGAGCTTTCCTCTTGGATCAGACTGGGAGCATCAAGCTCTGTGCTAAGGTTGGAGTTTATTAAAGACACAGCCCTTCCTTGAACTCTGACAATAGGGGGTTGTCCCTTAGGAGAAGAGAGACCTTCTAGTCTGAGGAAGCTACATTCTTTCTCTTGAGTTGGCAGTGACTATTGTCCTTAATTCTCCATGTACAAAAGGCATGTCTTTCTCCAGGCCCATTGTGAAAAGCAGCTCGCAAATTTAAAGATGCCAATGCAGCCCAGAGATAAAGCCATGCATGTTGTGAATAATCCTTGAACCATCAGCGGAAAATGTTAGCTCTGCTCTTTCCAAGTGGAAAATTGAAACTGCCTTTTCTAGAGTCAGTTTGTCTGCCCCACATTTGGGGAAAAAATCACAATAATAATGTTTTAATATACCAACTTACACCAGCCTCTAGTACAGACAGCCGAGCAGAACTGTGAAATCCAACCGTCTGCTGGTGTGGCTGCTCCTCTCAGCTGGAGTCAATTGGCACCAACGGACAATGCGCCAGATTCAAATCCAAGAAGTCAAAAATAGCCCCAGAGAGGAGCTACTGCAAATGCTGACTTGGAATTCCCATGGGATTTCTCTGGGGCTTTCTACTCATACAGGCATAGGGAAGATAATTACTGCAGAACTTACTAACAGTTGTATGACTTTTGGAAAATGGGTCTAGAGAGCAAACCTTACCCTTTCCATGATAATTATGGCCATGGCCTTGCTTTTGAGGGAAATGCTCTCAAGCTCACTGTCATTGAGTGGCCCTCGGTGACAGAGCAGAACTGCCCCTGTGGGTGTCCGTGTCTGTAACTTTGTGGAGAAAACCTCATCCTCCCCTAAAACAGTTGGTGGTTTTGAACTGCTGACTTTGTGGTTAACAGCTCAGCGCTTGACCCATGGCGCCACCCAGGTTTCTGAGGTGGGTAGGTGTGAAATTACTCGCTCCAGTCCGGGTTAGGGTTAGGCTCATCAACAGAAGGTCCCAAAGGCCATCCTCTTTAGACAGTCTTTAATATGCGTAAGACAGCTGACTTGGTTTTGCGAAAGACCCCTTTGCCTTGCAAAACCTCTATGTGAAGCACTTGAGATGCTATGAGCGGCTTCCAGAATCTTTGCCCTCACAGCACGTGAGATGGCTCATTTCTGCCCCTTGCTGACCTTCCATAGCGTCTTCCTTATCAGCCCCCACCTCGGTTTGCATCCTAGCCTGGAGGAAAAAGGAGGCAAGAAAATCACTTCACGCCACTGTGTCGCTTTTTTGTTCCCTTGACCACTAAACTTTTCGAGGTAATAGTGTCTACACCTCGCCTGTATTCTGCATTACTCATGTGTTAATTTTTGTGTACGTAGTTTTATTGGCATGTAGTACATGTTATAACAAGGGAATTGTTCGATCGTATTAAGAAGATTTGTGCAGTCATCCCCGCAGTCCGTTTCAGGACATTTTCTTCTCAGCTCATTGTTTGCTCCCGTTGCCCGACCCCCAGCCTCCCCTGCCATGCCCCTAGGCAATTATCAATCCAGTTATTATCTCCACAGATCTGCCTCTCCTGGATTTCAAACACAGGATATTGTGCAAGTCACAAACAGGAAGCAAGCAAAGAGACAGGGAAAAACAACAGCAACAATGACTAGACAAAACAAAAATCACTGGAAAAGAAAACACCAAGCTCCCTTGCTTTCCATGACACGGTTTCCTCCCAGATTCCCCTCTCTCACTTCCCCCTCCCCCGCTCCTTTCTCCTGTCTCCTATCCTGAGAGTGAACATTTCAGTGTCCGTTAGTGTTCTTTTCCTGTCCTCTCGCCTCGGATTTTACCTGCTCCCACGGTTGCCATTTCCATTAGCGATCCTTAAAGGCAACCTTCCTTAAATAGCTTTCTTTTCTCACCTCATCAGAGGTGATACCAACTCTTTGAATTGTTATACTATATTTATATATGTATCATGATACTTTATACGACTCCCATTTTAATGCATTGTTGTTTGCATGCACATTTGCTTCTGCTTTTTTTGGTTGCTAATTTATCAAGCAAAGAGCGTAGTTGGAATTTTCCCCTCTCTTTCTTTGTTAAAATGCAACACGTCTGAAGCCCCTTCTGACATGTCTCTGTGCCTGGTGCCTCCAGAGTTGGTCTGCTACTGGTTAATCTCGGCTCCACAGTGTCCCACGTGGGCCCTACCATGACTCTTGCATTTATAGGAGCTGGTGGTTCGTTTCCTGAAGCGAGCGTCAAGCAACCTCCAGCATTCCCTGAGGATGGTGTTGCCCAGTCGACGGCTGGCACTCCTGGAGCGCAGGCGAATCCTGGCCCATCAACTGGGTGACTTTATCATTGTGTATAACAAGGTGAGGGACAGACTTGTTAGCCTTGGGCTTTGGCTGGTTACATACCTGCTGTCAGAAAAACTCACTGACACCTAGTGACCCTATAGGACAGAGTAAAACTGCCCCTTTGAGTTTCCAAGACAGTAAACCTTCAGGGAGCAGTCAGCTTAATCCTTCTCATTCAGACTGACTGGTGGGTTTGAACTGCTGACCTTGTGGTTAGCAATCCAGTGGCTTCACCTATAGTACCATCAGGACACATCAGACATTAGTAAGCTACTTTATAAAGTTTTCTTTCCGTTGGCTATTAAAAGTAGTAGAGACATGATAAAAATCTTCACTCATTAGGCAGCTTTTACTTGGAGATCTCAAAACCTCACCTGAAGTAGTGAGTGGTAGGAAGTAATGTACCAAATTGATGGACAGCAAAGTCTATACGGAGGACTGAACTGTCTTTATTCGCTATTCTCAGGACCAGTGAGCTCAGGGTGACGGAGCCCGATCACAAAGTGTCACAGGTATTGGGAGTGAGTTTTATCTTGTTGTTCTTTTTCTCTTTGGGGATCGGGGAATGGGTAGGAAACCGAACAAATGGCGGAAAAGAAACTGAAGAAAAAACTGGAGGAGGAAGAGGAAGACGGCGTGAATACAGAAAACTTTCAGGAGTTCATCAGACAAGCAAGGTAGTAGCCAGCCGTTCTTGGCTAATAAGTACCAGCTTGGTCCGTCTTTCATCCAGCCCGCGTTGAATCCCCAGGATCCCTACTTTCTGACACTTGACTCTCAGGAGGAGAAAAGGGCTCAGGAGCGTGGGCCTCTCCTGATTTCAGCCAGTTGTTGGTGTTGCCATGACCTCAGGGGTGAAAACCCTGCCGCCGCTGGGTATCTGGGCTGTATCTAAACCGTCTTCCGCATGGGCACCACTTAGAGGACAGAAAGAGCTTTCCGGGCAGATGAGGTTAGAGGCGTCAGCTGCTTGCTGGTTCTGACCTGTGGATGGAGTGGCAGTGACCAAATTTTGCTGAAATTGAGTGGGCTGGGAAGCTGGCAATACCTCAGGGCTTGTGAGGGTTACGCCTAATTTATATAAAACAGAACACATCTTTCATGCGTTATGAGTTGAAAATCTCAGCAGTCGGCTCTCTATCTCGACACACTTCAGCCAGGCCATGTTGCCCATTTGCAGTGTGTTTTCAAAAGAAGAGATAGATAGCTAAGGCATTCACTTTTCAATTTAGTAAGATGCACACTAGATGTTTTTCTAAAACAAAAGAGTTTGGCACAGCTTCTAAAACAAAGAACACAAGCCCATATGATCCTATTAACAGCTTCAGCCATCAAAGTCACAGTTTCGGGGAGGGGGGCGGAGAGCAAGTCTTCGATGATTTATGAAGTTAATTCAGAAGGTGCAATTTATCAGACACCAGCGACCATCGTTCAGTCCTCAGGTGGACCTAACTGGCCTCGGTGCCACACATGCTGAAACCCATAGCAAACACATCGTTTTGAGAGAGGCCATCATCGGGTGATGTTGCTTTGTTGATGTTCTTGTTTCCTGAGTGGTAGGATGGATAAAACAGGCACAGAAACAAAGCGAGAAACCATCCCCCACATCACTGTTATGAACTTGCAAAAGGAAAAAGACTGCTTGGAAAAGGACTACATCTAAAGCTAAAAAGTTAATTTCTGGTTCTTCCCAGGGATCTTCAAAATCCCTAAAATATAAACAAGAAAAATGAAAACTTTTAAAAAGATGATGTGCAATCCCCTGTTCAGGACGAACTGGATACTGAAAATGAATGCTATGTAACCAAGGATGTTGACTTGGAGAAAAGCATACAGGAACCTATTTGCTGCCGATTGTGGGTCCCTTGTTGATTGATGGGGAGCGTGAGAGGGCCTCAGTTCTTCCCGTGTGAAGTGTGGAGTATACACCCAGATAGCTTTAAAAAAAATACTTTTATTAGGGGCTCATCCAATTTATCACAATCTATACATATAGCAATTGTGTAAAGCACATTTGTACATTCATTGCCCTCATTCTCAAAACATTTGCTCTCCACTTAAGCTCCTGACATCAGATCCTCAGTTTTCCACTCCCACCTTTTTTTAAAAAAAGATCATTTTACTGGGGGCTCTTACAACTCTTCCTACAATCCATCCATCATTCGTGTCAGGCATATTTGTACATATGTTGCCATCATTATTTTTTAGACATTTACTTTCTATTGTGCCCTTGGTATCAGCTCCTCATTTCCGCCATACACACCCGGTTAGCTTTGTGGGAGCTGGTGAATTCAGCCCCCTGCAGAAAGGTAAAACCGACAACAGGTCCAGCAGCATGTATTGTGACCAATCTTAACCTCGGCCTCCGAGGGCCCAGTGAAACACAGGGGCAGATTGGCTGCTGCCAGCTTGCAGCCTGAGGGTTCGATCTTAGCCAGCTACCTGAGGCACTGCCCCTGCGGCACTTAGCTTCTCCCAGGACCTGGGGTTCATTCTGAGACTCTTGCAGGCAGCTAGCTGACTAGGGTTTCCTCCAGGGCTTCCTGAAGACGTGCTCCTCTCTCTGGCTCTCCCACTCGTTCTAATCAGGAGTGCTTCACTGATTCGAAGGCACCTGTCTCGAACATAGCCAGGTGTGGCTGGCGGGGACGACCACTGAGGCCACAGATGTTGCAAAGTCCAAGCATAAAACGTTTACTGCAAGGATCCCCCAGACCCTCGTTTGTTTCCCTACTTTACATGTTGTGGATGTTCATATAGAGCCAATATTTTTAATAACTAGAAATGACCTTAGAGTTCATCTCATTCCGTCTCCTTCATTGTACAGATAGGGAACAGCTCCAAGGCTCCGAGGTGGGCCGCCTACGGACGTCCGGAGGTTGTTAGAGTGAAAGGCGGCCTCGGGAGTGATCAAGGGGGAGAGTGGGAAAACTGCAAGAGTCCCGGATAGGAACTCTCTCCGGCTACCTCTGACCTCCATCAAGCATCCTGTCAAGATTTAAAAACCCTTTTGACTCGGGCCCTACAGAACCAGGCGCATCAGGTTTGGCCCACAGGCTGTCATTGGCCGACTGCTGATCTAAACCATGGCTGCCCACTGGAACTTCCGGTGGGCCGCTGCTGAGCTCATGAAATGTGGTTCATGTCGCTTGAATTCATTTTCGTTTCAGCAGCCACATTGGACTAATGACTGTCCTAGTTGAGAGGGTGGGTCCAGAAAGCAGACTGGGATAAAGAAAGCCAGGCCGTGTTCGAAGCCCCTCCGACGCCTTTCACTTATGTTCCATTTTAACCACGCACATTAGCAGGGGGTCCTCCCCAAGTGCCTCTCCTTTTCCCCTTCTCCAGCTAATTCCGTTTCCGTAACAAAATCTTGGTAGAAAGATGTTTTCCAGAGCAGTTTCCTGTTCTGACCGTACTTTTTCTCCCCATTTCAGTGAGGCTGAACTGGAAGAAGTGTTGACTTTTTATACCCAAAAAAACAAGTCTGCAAGTGTGTTCCTGGGTACACACTCCAAAAGCCTGAAGGCCGGCAGCAGTCACTCTGACAGCGGGGCAAAGGGCGGTGAGTATGCGGCTAAGTCATAGAAAATAAGAGTGAATGGGAAAACGAGACCTGCCAAGAGAGGCCAGCGACCCTGTGCTGCCAGGCACTAGTAATGTGCCCTGGTGGCATAGTGGTCATGCTGGGGCTGCTAGCCGCATGAGCAGCACTTTGGAACCATCAACTGCTCCATGGGAGAAAGATGAGGCTTTCTACTCCTGTACAGAGTTACAGTCTTGGAAACCCTCAGGGACACGTCTGTCCTGTCCACTAGGGTCACTGTGAGTCAAAATCAACTTTCTGGCAGTGAGTTGGTTTCGATTTGAGGCACAACTGGATTGCAAGTTGGTGAGACTGGGCAGTATGTAGAGGGGGTTGGTTAACATTTTTGTCTTAAAAGATCTACACCCCACCCCACCCCCGCAATGATAAGTAACCCAAACTCACTGCCGTGAAGTCAGTGCCGGCTCATAGCGCCTCTATAGGACAGGCTAGAACTGTCCCTGTGAGTTTCCGGGACCTGTAACTCATCACAGGCGTAGAAAGTCCGATCTTTCTCCAGCAGAGTGGCTGGTGGTTGCGAACTGCTAACCTTATGGTTAGTAGCCCAATGCATAACCACTAAGACACTAGGGATCCTTGATGATTAACAGCAGAGAGCTCTTCAAGAAAGCTAATAATAATAATAATAATTAACATTGAATGAACACTTGTCTCTCGTTCTACTGGACAGGATCTGACGTTTTACTTCTAGAAAACACACAGAGAGTAGGGACTGGCATGAGTCTTCTTTGCAGATGAGAACACAGAAGCTGAGAGAGGCTGAGTTACATACCCATGGTTGCCCTCCACCCACTGTTTCGTCAGGAATGTGCACCCTAATCTGCCTGTCTCGGAGGGAGCCTGCGTTCTCATTCGCTGCTCATCTGCCTCACTGACTGACGAGCTCTCGCCGTGTCGTTTGTCATCGCCCCTGGCTCAGCACCACTGGCGCTTGGGCAGAATAACTCTTTGTTGTGTGGGCCAGCTCTGTACATTGGCTACCCAGGTCCTAAGTGACCGTGACTATCTTTAGTCCTTGTGATAACTCAGCATGCTCCCACGGTTCCACATGTTCTTACCACATGTTCTCACCGTCGTGGAGAATGTGGGAATGGAGTAGCAACCAGACCACCTAGCTCAGAAGCTCCCAAACCTACTTGGCAGCTGCCCGCTTTTCAGGGAAAGAATACAAAAGTGACTCAGCGTCCCCCTGGCGATGAAAACCATCTGTGCAATAGCCCCTGATCCAGGATGAACCGCAGGTGTCTGCACTTGCAGCCATCCTGGATCATTCCAGCGCCACCTTGTTGTAAAACACTGGTCCAGCGTACGTTGTCATGATCAGAAAATAGCAGTGGCATTCAGTTAGAAACGAGACTTGTGCTTGGAGAGTGTCATGTAAGACCTAAAGGGGAGCCTAAGGCCCCTGCAGTTAGCGTACTAATTTTGCTAATGTGCTGAGACCAGACTCAAAGATGGAAACTTCTTCCTTGTTCTCATGACTGTGGTAGTCCAATGGGGAAATAGCCGAGAGACTCGATCACGTAAAATTTGTTAATGTTTAAAAAAAAACCGTTAGCTCACCAGTGAGATCCATAAAGCGTACTTAACTCACGGGGTGGTTGGATGACTGTCCCACTAGACGTCCTTCCTGACACGGTCCTGCCTTTTCTAAGTTCTGAGCTAGTTCATTCATCGGTGCATTCATTTGTTCATTCGCTTATTCCTTCTACACATTTTTGGTATAGTCGCTAGGGATACAAAGACCAGGCATATTGCCTGGCCTGGGACAGTGGGAAGAAGGTTTGTGGAAGCACTGAAAAGCACCTGTGTAACAGTGTGGGGAAGGGAGACTGAAGACTGTGTGCTGGGGATCCCGGCAGAGAAAACGGTCCTCACCCGGGGAGGTGGGGACCTAGATGGACATGCAAATGGAAGCATATGCTCTAAAGTAACAAGGGGCCCTTGCAGTGGAATGGCACACCTGTTTGGAAAGGATGGGTCATTTGAAGTTCTGAGGCTCCTGAGTTAAAGACTTCCCTTACATAAGACCATCTCCACCTCTTGATTTCTCAAGAGCAGCTAGCGGGACAGTAGAAAGGCCTTGGCCAAGGAAGCCACACCACGGCATTTGAACATCTGGACTCCTTTCAGATATTAAGCAGCCCAGTGTGGCAGTTTTGCGGTCAGTGCTGGGGATGGACAAAAGAGAAGCCCTTTGGCCCTACTCTTGCATTGCGATTACTGTAAAATGACCCTTGACAAGGTTTTCTATGGTCTCAATCCTTGAGGGAGACTAGGAAAGCTTTTCTCTGAATTTAGGATAACCTTGGCTGTTCAAAACAAAACAATACCCCCAGGGTCATGGGACAGAACTTGTAGGAATTATATATACCTGTGATTCTGTTACGTACACACATTCAGCCTAACTCAACTATAATCGAGACGTTTACTACAAAGACAGAGCTGTTGTCACTTCTAGCTGTCACATCAACACCGATTGGGGTTGTTCCTTTCACTCTGGGAACTGTCCTCCTCCTTACATAGTCTGAGTGTTTGGCTCCAGGATATACGAAAAATCTTGGTTACCCCACTCTGACTTCCTGGCACAGACTTCTGACTCCCCCCGACTTATTTTTCCTTTATTTTCCAGGCATGTCCTAGCTTGTTGGCAGTCCCCAGAGGACTGCCCTGGGTTGAAATTCCCAGTTACCTGGGAAGGGGGCTGGGACTTGTTGAGCGTCATGAGTTTGGTTGCCCCGTCAACAGGCTGGGCCTGTGGCCCTTTGGGGGAGTGTGGTGGGAGGGGCAACAGTCCCCCGCAGTGGTTAGTCATCGTAACGTATTTTGGAGCCCCGATTATGTATAGC